GCATGTCCAAGAAAAGCCATTTCAGCACCTTGTATCCGGGTTCGAAGCTTTGCAAAGGTGGTCCACGAATCATGACCGCAGGTAAGTATGGGGATAATGATCGACTTGAATATTGAGAGCTTAGTTTTCAGACAGCTCTGCTTTAGTTACAGTGGGTTGGGCCAGTTCATGCAGAACGCCACTGGGTGCTCCATTTCGCCGGTCGATCTCTTCCTCCAGTTTTCCATCACTAGTAAGTACAATTCCGAGGTACTTGAACTTCTCCACCTGCTCCACTGCCTCTCCGTTAATGTGAAGAGAGCAACGGGCCAGAGAATGAGAAAGCACTAGGCTTTTCGTTTTAGATGAGTTCACACGCATGCCGGTCACGTCGCACTCGGCTGCGAAGGATCAGTTTCAGAAGATGCTAATAAAACAAGGTCGTCTGCAAACAGCAGCCTTCTCGACTTCACATCTCCGTTTCAGAAGGTGCTAATAGAACAAGGTCGTCTGCAAACAGCAACCTTCACGACTTCACATCTCCTACACCGATATAGTCATCGCCTTGACAGTTCCTGACGATTCCATCCATGTTAAACATAAACAGGATAGAGGACAGGGAGCAGCCTTGGCGGAGACTAGTGCGAACGTTCAATGGTTTCGACTTAACGCCATTAGCTCTAACGCAGCACCTGTTTCAGCATACAATGATTCGATGGCCCTTAGCAGATAGCATGAATCCTGTATGCTCGAAGGCATGTCCAAAGGCTGTTGCGTCGGATCCAGTCATAGGCATTTTTTAGGTGCACAAAATACATGTTCACCGGACGGGAGTACTCCAACGACTTCTAGCCATGTGGCGCAAGGAAAATATATGGTCAGAGGTGCTTCGACCGGGCCAGAAGCCACACTGCACTTCTCTGATCTTGAGGTCAACTATTTTGGGGCATCGCCTTTCTAGAACCATCGCGTAGATATTACCGGGAACGCTCAAAAACGTTATGCCCCCATAACTGGAGCATTGCTCGTGGTCTCTTTTCTTGAATACGGTACAATGACTCCCGTTCTCCAGTCCGCTGGTGTCTTTTCCACACTCATCGCAGTTTGACTGACTGGTGTAATTTAGCACATCCTTGTTCGCCTAATTCCTTGAGCATCTCACGGCGGATTTCATCAGTTCCACCAGTTTTTCAATTTTTCAAGCATTTGAGAGCTTGTGCAGTTTCATGTACAGAGAGTAATATCCGTACCCTTCTGTCCTCCAGGTGAGTGTTCCTGCGGCTGCTCGGAGTTAAGGAGTTCCTCAAAGTGCTCTCTCCTTTGCCGAAGAATGTTATCATCTTTCGTAAGAGGGTGTCCAGTCCTGTCCTTCAAGAGTCTGAGACTGTTCTTCTTTTCACCTTTGAGACGGCGGGTAATCTGCCAGAATTCTTTGTTTGTCTTGTGTAGATTCGACTCCAACACCTCACCAAACTTCTCCCAGAAATCAGCTTTGGCTTTTGCACTGCCTTGGCTGTCACAATGCGTGCCTCGATATATCGCACGCGAATGGAAGGCCCTTTGTTTCCAATCCATTTCTTGAACGCTGCTTTCTTCTTTTTAAGTGCCGGTTGTGCCTCTCGTATCCATCATGAAGATTTTTTCTGTCCTCCAGGCGGCAGGCCAACCCGTTTATATCCGCAACATTCAGCGGCAGCCTCGAGTGCGCCGCTCTTTAAGAGCTGCAACTAGGTTTCAGCATCAGTTGTCATCAACGAGACCTGTTCAAACCGTTGTGCGATGTTGTTTGCAAATTTCGCTCTCGTGTCCAACGAAGATAATGTCTCCCATTTGATTCTCCGGTTGCTTCTGCCACCAGATCTTCGTGTGGTACTCTATTTCTTACAGCGTAGCGTGCAAACAACAAGGTGATGATCGGCTGATAGCTTTGTGCCTCTTTTAACACGATAATCCATTACTGACCGTCTTAGATCAGACGATGCGATTATCAAATTGATCATCGACTTCTGTGCACAAGCTTCCCGGTATCAGGTGTACTGATGCACTTTTCGATGCTCGAAGAAGGCGTTCATAATAGACAATCCGTTGTTTTCACAAAACCGCAACAATTTCATGCCGTTATTGTTGAGGTCGCTAGGGCCGTTTTTTCCAATTACGCCATTGCACTTTACAGCGTCTACTCCGACATGCTCATTAAAATCGCCAATGTGTATGAGGGACTCTGTATTCGGCACTTCAGACAGAGCACACTGCACTTCCTCAAGGAAGGTCTCATATT